GACTTTTTAAAAAATCTATAATTAGAAAAATACTTATTGAACTAAGATTTAAGTCTATATTTTCCACTTTAGTAATCTGTCACCTATTTAAGATGTGTATAGTGCATTTGGAAGAATCACAATGAGCTACATTTATTATCATTATCATTATCATTATTATTACTAAAATACTTAACCTGTCATAAACAGCTACTATTTATCAGAATGTCTTTACTTACTTATATTTGCAATAGGACATCAATGCAAAGCACATCCATATATATCATAAATATTATTACTAATTATTCATTTAAAATATTCATTAATAAGGAATACCATGGTTTATGTCTTTCTCTAAACTAATTTATATTTATTTCATGCTTTTCTGTATCAGATGCTATTCTAAGTACTTTGCATATAATAATTCATTTAATTTCAAAACAATATTATGGATTGGATATTTTTATATATTTGCTTTTAACAGAAGCAGAAAACTAAGGCATGGGGTATTTAGGAACTTTCCCAGGATAACATAGTAGGTAAACTGTATTTAAAACCACTGTATGACTACCATCTACTCCTCCAGGAATATATATATATATATATATATATATATATAAAATGCATGTTCCTTATACCTAAAAGGAAGTTATATATGAATATTGTTACTATTTTAAGCTCAGTCCCCAATGGAAGGTAGGTATAGGACCAGTAAGTGGGATTTAGACCATGTTGAAATCTTGCCTTGCATGGAAAACAAATCAATTTTTGAGAGTATTTTAGCTTAACCTGAATGAAGGCTGGTGAATGAGACACTGTAGCCAGGAGGAGCAATAAGAAGTAGTGTTAGTTCGAGATCACTTCCTCTAAGGGGTGATCCAGAGTCATGGTAGGGACATTCAAGTCAGGCTTTGGCAAATTTATGAATGACAGCTTTGGTGGTGAAATGGTGAACTAACTACATACAGATTGATGGGAAGTAATGTCTCAGGAATCCGAACCAGCAGGTCAAAGAATAAATGAGTCACTCTAACCACGGTGAAATAGGAAGAGAAAAATACAACATAGATTCGTACCAGAATAAAGCTTTATATAATCTAAGAATATAGCACAAACCCAATCTTACTTCATTCATTTCTGTTGAAAAAATTGTTTGGGACTTTCCAATTAACACTACTAAATGGAATGCCACCAAATAGCAAGCCATGCAAAAGAAACATTTGAACAATTGTTCAGTAAATATCATACCTGACTTTTAAATTATAAAAGTAATACTTTCTTGAGGTTAAAAATATCTAGTAATATAGAAGTACAAAAAGCATAAAATAAGATGGCTTTCCTTCTTTTATCATTCTGTTCCCCTGATATAACTACTAACCTGTGTGTGTTTTCAAGACATTTTCACTGCATGAACCAATGTACGCTGACTTGTCTTGTTTTTGTAAAACAAATGGACTAAAATTATAGTTTGTATATATGTATATGTGCTATAACATGATATAGGTTTTTTCTTCTGTGAGAAAAGAGGTTTTACCATACATATTATGCTATAACTTGATTGATTTCACTTTTTTCCCCAAAATACATTACGGAAAACTTTCCCAGTCAGAACTTCCCATCAATCTGTATGTAGTTAGTTCACCATTTCACCACCAAAGCTGTCATTCATAGTCCTACCATATATTTTTTAAAGTTACTTGTTTTTCCATAGTATGGTGTCTCATAAGTCATTTAAATATTCCATAATTTGTTGTCCCTTTCTCAGGTTAGGTTTTCACACATTAATATATATTACCTTAGGTATTTAGGGGCCTAAGTTCCAACTCATTACCACTTTTGTTTAATTTTCCTAGAAATTCAAGCTTATAGCTATGTCTAGTATGTTTAATCATGGGAATACTGTATATTTTTTTCTCTATTATCTGGAAGAAATAAGATATTGAGGACTTGGAAAAGATGCTATATCCAATTACTTCTTATACATTTCACACTGTATATTTTGGGGGGTAAGAAAGTAGATCTGAAGCCAAATGGCTGAGTTTAAAATACCCTGTAGACCATAGTTAAGTATGTATAAGTTTAATAAACTCAAGTTTCCTGTTACTCTAGCCAACAGTTTATATTCAAGAAATATTAACTGACCATCTTAAAAGTAAATCCTGAATGTTGGGATAGGTGGTTAGGCAAAGCTTCCTCCAAGGATTCTAAGGAAAACTTGCTGAAGGAGTCAGTGTGATTGGGGTCATCCATGCAACAGCAGATATATTTTCATCCTCTTTTGCTTATCCCCTTTGGCACTAAAGAGACCCCTGTGTACAGAGAAATTTTGCAGCTGGGCAGAAGAGACAAGCCTCTGGCTGAGAAATAACACCATAACTCAGAGCAACTTTTGGCTTTCTACGTTGATCTTATCAAATTTCAACTTTTTCTTCTGGAAACTTGATTCACTAAGAGAAGAAAAAACACTTCTGGTTCAATGACTAAAGCGAATAGGCTTCAGATATCTTCTAGGTGGGAAACACACTTACTATCAAATGGAGACATGGGCTGGCATGGGAAGCCTTCTCAGGCTCATCAGAAGCCAGAATAATCTCTCCCCTCCCCCACCAAAAAAATTACCAAAATATCTGGACTATTCCTCTACAACTTGTATATCTTTTGGAAAAGATAAAATTAATTATCATTTGGTATAGCCACAGGCTGAGAACCTGTTAATAGAGTTTAGTGAAAATAAAATAGGCTGCTGGAATACCAGAGAATTAATATCTTCATGAGTGTAAATGGAAGTGGGAGGCAATGTCCACGTTAGCAGGGATAGATATACGATGCAGGAAACAGAGAAAATACTTTTTAGAGTTTCCAGCTAAGATAAAGAAAAATTATGACCAGGTCAGAAATAGTTTTCCTACTTATAACTGTGAGCAAAAACAAACAAATGAAACAAACAAAAACAGAACAAAGCCCTGGAGGCGATAATGATCAATATTCATATAACAGGGTCCAATACCGGAAGAATATCTAAAAATAATAGATGACCTTTAAAAATATACATTTAGTCATAGAATAACTAAAAGTCTATGCAAGGGTTTGTAAAGTGAGTATAAAAGGAATATGAATGGAGTTGTATATTTTTCCTATTTGCAAGAATAACTATTCAAATTTGGTTCAAATTTTAGAGAGTGACGAAAGGGAAAGTACCAACAAAACTCTTGAATAGTTTTTATTCCTCTAAAAACATTTATAATTAAAAAGGAGTCATGAGGGCGCAAATTTTACAGCCAACACCACCTGGAATATTAATAAAAATATATAGAGAAAAACTCCACACTTCCTTCAAATTTTTTATTTTAATCACTTCTGTTCTAAATTAATATAACTATGGTGGATAAAAACTTTTTATGTCATCAAGATCCTTTAAAAATTGATAAAACCCATTGGTCATCTCCATAGAAAAAAGAATATACTATATACAATACACTGCATATAATTTCAGAGGGATTACTGATAATCTTATATAAAGCTTACTTTCTGATCCCAATTTAAGAAGTTCTAGTCTAAAAGAATGGCCCTAACTAAATAAAGTAGGATCTACTAATGGTTTCTGAAAATCGACTAGCAGGAAAAATCTAGTTCATGCCACCATGTCACCATAAACTTGCAACATTTTCTTGGGCACTGGATGGCGTGGGGATGGACAGAGTACAATGCCAGCAGCATGTCTCTACTTGTGCTCCAAAAATGACTCTGGAACTCTCTTCCTTTATCTTTCCTTTGTTCTTTCAACCCTCTATAACAGGGGACCCCAACCCCTGGGCCACGGACTGCTACCGGTCCATGGCCTGTTAGAAAGCGGGCCACACAGCAGGAAGTGAGCAGCGGGCTAGCAAGGAAGCTTCATCTGTATTTACAGCTGCTCCCCATCTCTCACATTACTGCCTGAGCTCCGCCTCCTGTCAGATCAGCAGCAGCATTAGATTCTCATAGGAACTTGAATGCTACCGTGAAATGCACATGCAAGGGATCTAGGTTGCAGGCTCCTTATGAGAATCTAATGCCTGATGATCTGAGGTGGAGCTGGGGCAGTGATGCTAGTGCTGGGGAGCAGCTGCAAATACAGATTATCATTAGCAGAGAGGTTTGACTGCACAGAGACCATAACAAATCAATTGCTTGCAGACTTATATCAAAACCCTATCAGTGAGTGACAAGTGACAATTAAGCTGCATCTTATGGAGTAGACTGGACATAAGCAACACACTTCAGGTGTCACTGTCTCCCATCACCCCCAGATGGGACCATCTAGCTGCAAGAAAACAAGCTCAGGGCTCCCACTGATTCTGCATTATGGTGAGTTATATAATTATTTCATTATATATTACAATGTAATAATAATATAAATAAAATACACAATTAATGTAATGCACTTGAATCATCCCCAAACCATCTCCCCCCACCCCCGGTCCATGGAAAAATTGTCTTCCACAAAACCGGTCCCTGGTGCCAAAAAGGTTGGAGACTACTGCTCTATAATTCATCCCCTGAGAAGCCCTAGAGAGGGTCTTCTGAATAGGATGAGAAGAGAAAATAACTCTTATCCATTACAGAAAACACAGCAAGAAAAGAGAACAAGCCAAAACACTAGAGATTCTTATAAACTCAGTAAAACTAACTTGCTTTTGTAAACTAATAAAAAAGCCCTTTAAGCATCAAGAAATATTTATTTAGCTGTTGCATATCACTGTTGAATAATCTGAATAACTTAAGTATAACCAAATTTCAAGAAATTGAAAAGTTAAAGTCTCCCACCATGGTTGATAGCCAAGTGTCTGTTACACCAAGTTTATCAAAATAAGCTTATAAGAGTGGACAAAGTTTGATTCAACTGTGGTCATATTTCACAACTGTTTGCAACAGTGATTACCATAAGTATGTATTTATATGTATGCAACTTACAAATGAAAACTACACAATGGAGCATTAGATTAGATGAGGCTGAAATAGTCTATCTGCAAGTCGCTTACCATATTCTGTATTTCATTTCTTCTCTCTTCAAATCTTGACATCAAGAGTTCTTTGTCTCAGAAGCAGCAACAAACTCCTGAAAAGTAGTTTATGTTATAAAGATTATACTTACGCATATCCACACAAATATTTACCCAAATAATGATCAGTATTAAGAACTATTTTCAATATTTATTGAGGTCCAGAAACAATCAACAAATTAGTATATTGTCTCTAAGAACACTTGATTTTTATTGAATGCTGTCAAGACATCAAAATGTGCAGATTCACCTTTGAAAAGCGTTAAATTTGCACTTATTCTTTTGTCCCTAGGGTAACAGCTGGGTGGTGGTGGTGTTTTTTAAAGTACCTATTTGAGGTGCTAAGAGGTCCTAATTAGATAAATTAAACACAGCATTAAGTTTCAGAAGTGGTGTCAGAACAGATACTTTTTGATCTGTAGATCACTAAGGGAGCAACAGTAAATTGCAAGTAATGCGATTGTGTTTCCCACCTCAGCACACTGGGTTTGCTAAAAACAGTTTTAATTTAGTAACTGCCCAAGACATTTCTCTGAGTGACTGAGATGGAGTGTATTATTTTCTAGGGAGTCCCAGCTGCTTTCATTCTAATTATTCCTGTCCCTATTATGGATGAATGAATGAAAAAGAAATACCAATGGCCTCTGTGTTACAGTGTGACATTATCATACCTGGGAGGAGCATGCTGTTAACAAAATAAAACATGCTGGCTAAACAAAATAAAACAAACAACCATAATGACAACAACAACCAGGAGTGATTCACTTCAAGTCAGTTCAACAAATCAGTATGTAAGTAAGGCACTGGGCTAACTTATGAGGACCACTGACATCACTTGAAGTATTTATACTCCAGTGAAGAAAGCAATGCCGACATGTCTACAACTAATGATAAAACATGAAACAATAAAGTAACTATAAACATGAGAATCAAATTATTTTTGAATTGATTATGGTAGGCATCACTGAAGTAGAATTTGAACTGTACCTAAAAGAAAAATAAGCATGTACAAACATGGAAAGAGAGAAGGAGAGCCACCCAGATTAAGAATACTATGGGTTAGGAGGCAGAGGACAAAGTGTGACGGAAGAGCCTAATGAGTGGGTTTAACCTCAGCCCAAGTCTAGGGATAGGTGTAGGAGACATAAGAAGTTCATGTTAAAGGAGGAATCAATGATTTTTGTTTGAGAGCTAATTGAGTTTGAAGTACCTATGGGAAATTCTGATCTAAAGCTCAGGATGGATATCCAAATTAGAGGTAAAGATTGAGTCACCTGCACAAAGGTGATAACTAAAGCTTTGGGAGCGTTTGAGATAACCCAGAGCATATGCAGAGCATGGTTAAACAATAAACCTATGGAACACCTATATGTAAACACAAGTAAGAAGATGAGAATAAGAAGAAACATTCTGGGAAGCAGCAGGAGAACCAAGAGAGAATGTATCTAAGATATCACGAGAAGGTAAGCATTTCATGAAAGAAGAGAGTAGCCAACATTGTTAAAGGATGCACACAAGTAGCAGGTTTCACTTTTAGAAAGTCATCTGCACTCTTTAAAGGAGCAGTTTCAGTGAAGTGGTGTGGAGGGAGACCAGACTTCCAATTGGTTAGAGTAAATTGATCAATGCAGGAAATGGTCAAAATGAGTGCAGAAGCTATCGAAAAAGCAGGGTGGGAAAGTTTTCCAGAGAGTAAGCAACATTAGAAAAGGAGGAGGCACATACATAAAAAAATCTTTAGCAATATCAATTTAAAATAGTACATTTCAAATGTGGCTTCTCTGTGATATTCACTGAAGAGGTGCATCAATCAAGCCTAAGATCTTCCAGCCTGGGCAATGAGTAGATCACTTCAACCAATGAAATCTCAGTATATTGAGTTGTCCAGTACTACCTACCTACTGATTACTAAGAAAGAAAACATATACTGAGTGTGATTTTAAAAAAAACTTTCATATTTAAAAATATTTTTAATAAAAGATGCATATTCATGTCAACAGAGACTTACAGAGCTCAGGAACAAACTCATTATAAATGTTTCAAAGGAATTATATGGGACCAAACACCTGCAAAGAAGAAAAATAAGACATTTGCTGCCTTCTTTAAAAAACTCTAAAATAGCCACTCTTACCACATGGAAAATAAGGCTATATGATTCAACAAAACATTTGGAGAAACAAATGTTTTCCACCCAAACAATCCTCACAAATATTCCTAAGACTGTGAATACATTTCTCAAAGATATAATCACTGCTTACACATCAGATAACCTAAAATTGCCATCCTACAAAATAACTGGCACACATGCTCTTTGTAAGTATCAAGATCATGATGTCATGATGCGCAAAGAAAGACTAAGGAGACGCCAGATTGGAGGAGACCAAGGCGATTTGAAGATTGGATCCTAAACCAAAAAAATGGACCTTAGTGAAACAACTAAAGAAACATGACTAGGTCTATAGAGCAGGTAATAGAATTGTTTCAGTGTTAACTTTCTGGTTTTAATAATTGTATCCTTGCTATGTAAGATGTTAACATTTGGGGAAGTTGGTTGAAAATTACAAGGGAATTTTTGTAGTATTTTTCAAACTCTTTTGTAAGTCTGAAATTATTTAAATGTAAAAAGTTAAAAAAGAACAATTTCTAACTATGAAAAGAAATGGGTGAAGAACAACATCCAGTGGGAATAAGAGACCAAAATTTGACTATGTAGCTGTATGTATCATACCGCTTTTCAATTTTTTTAAAAAACTTCAACCAGCTGTAAAGTGTGCAGAATTAAGCGACTATAATAAAATATACCAAAATGCCTGGGTCCTAAAGAAAGGAATTCCTTGTTCACACTGGAGTAACCTGTACATTTCAGTAAAAGACTAATAAATAGAAACGCAGAATGCGATTTTCAATCGGAGTTTTCATGTGACTTTCCTAATGTAAAAAAGATGATCAAGGCCAATTTTGGAGTTGCCATGCCACCCAATTTTGAGTATCTACTCTGTGCAAGACACTATCATAGGTAAAACATGGTCTCTGACTACTAAAAGTGCCTCATCAATGTTGGTGGACTATTACACATTTCTCAGTATTTCATAGAATGTGTTATAACAAAGAGGCAAGCAAAGTCCTGTTGAGACATAGGAAAAAAGGAATAATTTGGATAACCTCACAGAGGCTTGGACAAATAGTTGTCCATCAAGGAGAAGATGAGGAAAGGTAACAGGGAGGCAAGTTAGTTTGAAGGCAGCAGAGAATTCTGATGGGTAGTGATTGAGGCATAAAGGAGAGAGGCATTTTGTAGAAAAGAAAAAGCCTAAGCAAAGTCATGGGATAGAAAATGACAGGATTGTTTTGATTCTCTAGTTCAAGTGAGAGGGCAAGGAGCTCCAGAGTTGGAAGTTCACTGAGTGTTAGGATGTGGACAAGTCAGTTAGGGCTTAGAGAGCCTTGGAGCTCCCAGAAAATTATGTGTTGTGTAAACACTAACCCAGCTCGCATTTAAGAACAGTTCCATTAAATGTTGCTCAATACACTTCTTTCCCTAAATTCAGCGTATTTTCATAGAACCCGAAATATGAAATATACATTTTAGTTGCCCACTCCAAAGCGGTACTGGCAAATTCCAAAGATGCTGGATCTTAAAATATGTTGAGTGTATTGTTTTCTAAGTAGTCAATTACTATCCACTGCCCACTTCTAAAAGATCAATAATTCAGATTGCCTAACAGGTTCCTAGGCCAGTATTAAACTGTTCACTGAGTTTTACAAAACTGAAAACCTCTTTGTTAATTGGACATGGATTTCATTCTAGCAGCAACTGCTAAGGTATTTTAACTGTATTTGCTCTGTGAAACACTAGTCCCAGAATATGTTAATTGGTCTGATATGAAAACGTGTTCCCTCAGCCAATAAGTTTGGTAAACATTGGATTAAGGAAGGTTAATCAGATTTTTTTGGCTACAGGAGTTATCAGAACCTTGAAAATGCTAATGAGAAACATGGCATTTAAGAGGAGAGAGCTAAGATGCATTGTTACGCAAATCCCAATAGAAATCTAGTGATACAAGTGCTCTACATTTGAAAACTGCACCAGATGCATCTCTGCTTCACCTAATTTTAAGCCTATCACACACTTGGTGGAATGGCTTAATGAAATGTCTATGAGGAAAGAGGAGCTTTTCCAAAACAGCTTCATTTCTGATCCCTGTAGTTACTGGAATGTCAACTTTTAAAATTAATATCATCTATTGGAAAATTTTCTTTCCTTGGGAAAATGTCTCTTCTTTTAAAATAGAAATTAGTGGGGAGAAAAACAATCATGAACAGATATGTCCTTTCTTGTCACCTTCTTTGGGGGAAAGCTATTTTGTTAATGGGAAATCTGAATTTTATTGCTCTTATAATATGGTTAAATCATTTGAAATGGTCACTTAAGTGATGATGTTAACACTAAAACAAAAGAAACACTGCAAGAGAAAGTCAGGAACACAAACCGCTAGATAAATTTCAAAGAAAATAAAATACAAGGCATCTAGTAGCAGTTTGGAAATATTTATGTACTGTGAAAATAAATAAATTTCATTTAAAGTGGAGCTTGGAAGTCCTGGGAGGAGCTCTCATGCATATCACTCACCCCAGCTTGCAGATCCCAGCAGGAAGAAAGATTTCCTCACCCAGCAATAGCAAGCTTCCCCCACCTGCAGCCAATGAAGAACTGCCACAGCCCTCCCCAATTTCCTTTTTTCCTCTATAAAAGCAAGCCCCTCTCCTCTGTTCTCCAGACATGCCTATGGTTCACCATATGTTGCTTGTCCTGAATTGCAGTGCTCTCCTTTTCCCAAATAAACTTATTTTGCCGGTAAAATAATGGCCCACTTTATTTTAAGATCAACATTACCTCACAGATCTCTAGGTCCTACTACAAGGCAGCCATAACATGTTACATCCATACAGTATAATTATATAACATCAATACTTTGGAACTGTTTAGTAATTTCGGGTAGTTGGATCTTAAAAAGAGTGGAGATTTCTATGCACATCGTATTACAGTTCTGTAGCT